AATTCAAATTTATAAAACTAATTACTTGTACATTAATATTAACAATGTATGTTAAAAATAAGAATAATATGGAATATCCATAATAAGGATCTTAAGTAGGAATAAGGATCTTAATAAGGAACTTAATTAGTAATACTAATAAAAGTAATTGTAATTGTTGTAATATTAGAAAGCTGCACGAAATAAATAAGTTTTCAGCATGCATTTAAGAATGGAAAATGATTGAATATCACGTAATTCAGCTGGCAGAGCATTCCATAAGTACGGGGCAACAGCAGAGAATGATCTGTCCCCCAACATGGCAAGCATTTTCCCCTTAGGAGGGTCAAGTAATAAACTTTGATTTGATCTAAGATTATATACAGACCTATGCTTGATGTTAATTAGTTCAATGATATACCTAGGCGCCCATCCGTGAATAGCTTTAAATGTTAAAATTATGATCTTAAAATGAACACGATGTTGTACTGGTAACCAGTGAAGTTGACAAAGCGCAGGAGAAATATGCGAATACTTACTTAGACTCAGTACAAGTCTAGCCACAGCATTCTGCACACGTTGCAATTTGGCTATTTGCGACTTAGGAAGGCCATACAAAAGTCCATTACAATAGTCTAAACGACTAGTGATAAAAGCATGAATAACGAATCGCGAGATAAATAATTCTTAATCCTCCTAATATTATGTAGGTGATAAAACGCGGAATTACAAATTTTATTAACGTGNACTTTTTGAACTTGGTTAATGAACATGATGTGTTTGCCCTTGTCGACTGGTTTAACCGCCTCCCGGTTAGCTCAATGGATAGAGCGCTGGACTGTTGTGCGGGAGGTCGAGGGTTCGAGCCCCGGCCGGACCAACACTCAAGGTCTTAAAATAATTGAGAAGAATATGCTACCTTTCTATAACATCAAGAAATGGTTAGATATTCTAGTCTTCTCGGATAGGGACGAATAAATGGAGGTCCCGTCTCCTACAGGGTTAGGGGTAGGAGACGTTAATTTCCCACGCACGAGATTACTGTGTGATGGATGTCCTCCCCTGGGGTGGGATGGGCGGGTTAGGATTGATTGTAAAGCGCTGTTGATCTGTCATTGTAAATAGCGCTCTATAAGTGATAAATTGTTGTTGTTGTTGTTCATCAAGAGCTAATGATTAAATTAGCCCGGCTGTGTTTACTTGTAACATACATTTCTAATGTAAGGTGATTCGTCAAAAATCCAGTTGAATTCTGTGCAATATCAATTTTGTAAGTTATAAAGTATTATTTAGATGTCTTGTAAAGGTAATTACATTAAAAACCATTTAAATTCTGTAATAAATCAGTATTGTATATAATAAAATCTTTATTAAGAAAGCCAGCAAATGGTGAATTTCTGATTCAGCATTTAGCTAATAATTGAATTAACCTTGTCATTTTGACTAAGAAACATGTATTTCTCTTATAAAAGTATGTCCTTTAAAAGAATAACTTAATTCTGTATTTTGTCATGTTGCACAAACGAAATTATATTATTATTTTACAAAGGCCTTAAAATGTTAAAAATACTGGATTCATAATAATATAATGAATAAGTTGACCTATTTATCACTGTCTCCTCAACATGCAATATTATGTGTCTTCTAACGATAATTCTTTTAAAAGCAGTTGAATTCTTCAATACTTTTAGCGATAAACACGATTTACAAAGACCACAATAAAAGATTTCTGATCGAGCAGTGAAATGGTCTATCTATTTTGTGTTTAGTAGAGAAGTCAAAGGAAACTTTTGAAACAATTTTGCTTAATAATAAGACATTTTTCTGCAAATTGCACTGAAAACAAGCTAACTCTCCATGATTGCACAATTAATCCAAGGGGACTGGTCATCATTCATCCCAGAGGGGGAGGGAAAGTATCTTGGGAGGTGTTTTTAAGGGGAACGGAAGGGGAGATCAGTCGAAGTAACAGGGAGACTATAGAAAACTGACCACCAATGAGGGAGGAGCATTAGAATCTGACGTCAGAGCTAAGGGGAAATCAGGTTAATTTTACTGCAACACAACCGAAATCTTAGCCCCCCCCATCTCTAATGCCTAGATAATTTTGCACAAGCAATTGGAAATGTGAATTTTTTTTTTCTTTTCCTCTTTTGTGTAACAGAAAAGGCCAGGAGATTCTGTGAGTGAAACCCATCAGTGCTATAGAAGAGTGTTAAACTTGAAGCTTGCCCATTTGAAGACCTGCATGGTCAACTTGTCACAATCTGTACTGCCCTTCATGTTAATAATCACGAGGTTGAGGTGTTATATAGGTTAAAGGCTGATATATAGGTTAGTCAGATCTTGACGCGCTCTGATCAGAATCTGACGTGGAGGTGGAATTGCAGGCGTACCTGCTGGAAATATTTTTTACCTGTAGCTTCGCCTCTGATGCTTTGAATGCACAAATACGATCAATCTGATCTTGAGCAAGTTTAATTTCCAAATAAAATCCGTATTTTTCCGCGGTATTCCGAGCTTGATTTACAAGTTCCTCTGCTCCGGAACCATTCCCCGCGAGAAGGCTAAGAGTCGACTTTATCATAAAGTACTTAATTTTCGCTGCGATAAGGGTGTCGCCCACTTGATTATGGCTACGTTTGAACTCCTCAAGGTACCCTTCTGCTTTTTTCAGAGATGGTTTCTTCGATGCACTTGAAGTAGGAACAGACAAACGCGCCAGAAACATTAGCGCAAAGCACTGCCTGGCGATGTATAAACGATTGTTATTAGAAAGTTCTCTACACTGGTCGATGCAGAGGCCATAAAACTTGCTTGCCTTTGTTTTGGCACTGGTAGGGTTATTTGCCATCTCGGCGAATTCCGACCAAAGACGCGCTAGTTCGTAATAAAGAAGAGCGAGAGAAAACATGGGTATCGTTAAATTGATTTCTTTCAAGCGGTCGCCGCTTTGCTTTGCTATTTCGAGGCAATCAAACGCTCTTCCTAGCTTCCTCTTTTCCTCCCCTTCGCGCCGAAAAGTTCTCGCTAAAGTGACATTTCCAAGCAGACTCAAAACATCACGTAATGTTCCATCGAATTCATTGTTTACAATACTTAAAGCATCTTCCGCCAATTTTCTTCCTTCTACAAATCGTTTTTGGTAAGTCAGCCTCACACATCTTTCGAACGTGAGAAAGCATTTTATTTCTGGTTGGCTTTCATGTTTTGACTGGATCTCATTCAAAGCCTCGTCGAACTCCTCCCATTTACCTCCATCTCGAAGTGGATACAGCTTATCGACTATTTCCTTCATTTTATCAAACGCTTTTGCGAGTTGAGATTCAACTCCCGGCGATGGGAATCGATATGGCGTCGAATGGAGCTGCCTTTCAAAAGTTCTTTTAGCATTAGCTTCATCAAAGCCCACTGCGCCGTCCAGTCTACGATGGCTCATACGGAAGTCGAAATTGGACTCTCGATCGCTGCTAGGCGGCACTTTAATTTCGTTACTGTCCCCAACGATTACATTGTTAGCAGTGATGTTGTACGTAATTGGCGTTTTCGTTAAGATCTGCGTTTCCTCGTCCACAGGTGCCGTTGTTCGGCTCGCCATATCCATCGGAGGAGCATCGACCTCTGAAATGCTCCTCATATGTTGTCCTGATCGGTGAAAGTCAATGTTATTGTTACTGCCGATCATAACGCTACCAGTGGGATCGCGAATCTGTATTTGTAGGTTGTATGTTGCGCTGTTAGCGGACTTGACAGCAGGTTTTCCTTTTACAATTTGGTTTCCGTTGTTATCTTCGCTGTTGAGCTCTGAATTGCTGCAACAAACGCTCTCTTGAGCACGGATGCAGTTCTCACTTACGTTTTGTTGCGTATCGATGTTTTCGTTTACTTGTGGCACCAGCTCGTCTGTCAGACTTTGGACGCATCTTGTTAGACAACTGAAAGTATTTCCCATTACTTCCGTAAATTGAAAGGGAACAGCAAAAGTGGTGACTGCAAAATTCTGTTTCGTCAAACACGATTAGCCTTTCGTCTAGAGAACGAGAGAAGAAACCATCTCGGCCGCTCTGTTTGTTATTGTTGACGTGATGAGTCTTGCGCGAGGGTCTTGTGGCACTGTCTTTCGAGATATCCATTTAAATACCACTGACCAATCAAATCCAGTTTTTTCAATTGCGTGATATCAGCTCCTGATTAGCTATTACCAAGTGTGTCGCTTCTGATATTTGATTGTTCTCGTTGTAACCACGTTTGCAGGTTCTAGAAGGTTAATTAATTCCACCAAGTGGACATTTAAACTTCACGTTCAGTGACCCATGATACCGGATATTTGCCTCCTGCTCTTGCTGCCTCTAAGGACAACAGTAGCAGCCTAGACTGAATGGAAGTTGTTCAGATTTCAAATTACGAGAGAATGTATGGGAATAAACAAAATCCAAGGACAACAGTAGCGGCTTAGACTGAATGTAAGTTGTTTAGATTTCAAATTATCGGAGAATGTATGGGAATAAATAAAATCCAGTCGTTTCCCCATGACTCGAAATTTTAAGGTTATTATACAAATTCGAGTTATTTAGAATTGAGAATAGAAAACTGCTTTTTATGACTTGTTTAGTCGTATGTTGACCAGCAAGAAAGACGCAAATAGTAGAGGGTAAAATTGCGGAAATGTAGAACCAATATTCCAGGGAAATTGATTTTGCTTCGAGTAAACGTCGGTTTGAGATCTAGCGAGTCAACTGTGAACCCTCAATCACTGTTGTAGTTGGAAACAGTGTTATGAAATGTTCCTCTTAATTGACAATCCGTTGACTAATAATGATTTTGAAGACGTCTACAGTTGCTAAAGGTGTTGAATCCCCTGATTACCCGTGCATGGTTTCCAATGTAGGATTTGGGAACAGTGACGTGGCTGATAACCCGCCATTTCCACGTGCGCGTAGGAAACTGAACGTGGCTCGGGAACTTCACGTGCTCGACTTTGATCGGTTTGATGAAACTGCTGCGCTTGCAGAAGGTTAGATAATCGAAAGTGAAAACGGTGAAACCCGTGCATGTTGATTTTTTTAAATTTCTTTCTCCGTCTAAACGTATTTTTACTATTTGGGCATTTTATGTGCATAATTTTGACAAACCAAAATAGATCTTATTTCTGTGGATGAGAAATTTCCTACACAGAGGTAGCTTCGCTTTGCTTGTTTTTACTCCATTGCTGGGCAATAATCCTACTATCACTGAAACCAAGTTTTTGACTTAAGTTTATCAGAAAATTTTTTAGAAAATATTCGCTAAAGACACAATTTCCAGTATCGTTATGTAAATTTTCTGATTAACTTTACTTTTTCTTGCATATTCATTGACCTTTGCTCACTTCAAACGAAATCCTATCTTTAAGCGTAACGCAAGGTACTGATATCCTAATGATTACTTTTAAAGTACTATTTGTTATGGTACAAGAACTGAGTGAAGTGCATTAATTTTACGGGGACAGTTGGAAGACTAAATTAAATTGAGTGAACGCACAGTGTGGGGCTGATTCGAAGCTCAGAGCACGATTTTCCTTGAATTGTTCGCCACGAATTCTATTACCAATTCATGGCTCATTTACGAGTTACTCTCAATGTTCTTATCAAAACGAGGCTCGTTGCGAAACCATTCTCTCAAAAGTGAGTCTAACCCTTCACTCCTCGTAGGTGCCCTGGAGTAATTTCGTCAGACATCATCGACACAATGTCAAGCAGACATGCAGGTGATAAAAATTAAGGAAAATTAAACATAAAATAGTAAAATTAAACGAGACTTACCTGTAAGTTGAAGTTTGATTGAGATTCTACCGAGTTATAAAGTGCTGGGAGATTACATGAGATAGCAAGCGCATGCACCAACTCAATCTCTAAAAGCTTAATGTGAGTCGTTCAAGGCACCACACTAAATTAGGGTGGGTGGGAGGGCATGTAATCTCCCAGTACTTTATAACTCGGTAGAATCTCAATCAAACTTCAACTTACAGGTAAGTCTCGTTTAATTTGACTATTCTACCTCGTTATCGTGCTGTAAGATCGCATGAGATTTTGAAGCAACACGAACATTAACCATTGTCATGGCAAAACTTTTATTTTACACATGTTTGTTACTTCACAGTGTTGAGTACCCTACCAGCAAACGTGTTCTCTTTAATTAACAATAGGTTTTTTGTATTACTTAGAAATTGTTGACTCAGAGCACCACCCAGCTGTTTGCAGAATGTCATCAAGACTTACTGAGGCATTGTTGGCGGCAGATGTTCTGGCAGCCTGTGTGCTGTGGGATTTAAATCTGGAAGTGACTATTCCAGAGTCAGTGACAACAGTCTTCACCCACTGGCTTATAGTATCTCAGCTAACTTTCCTGAAAAGTTTTTGATAGCTAACAAACAATTGGCGTTCTGAGCCTCTTAAGTTTTGTGTTCTTGTTAAGTACTATTTTAACGTAGATACAACACACAGCGTAAGTTTAACAAGTGGGTTGTTAACTCCTGGTCTGCTTTGCTTCAGGTGTCCCACAAGCTGGAAGGTGTAGCAATTATTTAAAAAAAAAACATGCGGTCAATATTCAACATATGTACTGTCTTGACCTCTTTGGCCAGAAACTAATAAAATTAACACAACGAGTTTCAGTGTCAGTCCCTTTAATGACAATGTGTCCACAGGCGATAGAGACTGGAGATATTCCAGGACAATAGACACATCCCAAATTTCCGTGTACTCAAGTTGGTCTTGGAGGTTTTTCCTAAAAAATGCCTTTCATCAGCCTGGACACTAATGGGTGTTTTCCTACACATGTCTTATCCTCTAAAGTAACATAGCTAGACAAAGCACTTCTGGCAGTGTTGATGGCATTGTATGTAAGGCCTTGTCGATATAGCAGAGTGAGAAAATCAAGCAGAGGCACTACAGATGGTTGAGTGTCATCGATTTGTCTCTGAGCACAAAAGTTTTGCCATTTCGTGATGTAGGTACTGTATTGTTTCTTTGTTCCATTTCGCCATGATGAGCTTTGCAGCTGCTTGTGAAATCCCCTGATCCTGCATGGACTGCCAGACAGGAGACATCCCAGCATGGTCAACTTCTTTCCAAAGGGGTGAAACTTTTGGGGAGAATGTGACAGTGAAAGTAGGTCTTGATGCTTTGGCAACACAAATGGAATTGCAATTATCATTCTCAGAAGTTGTGGCCACCAAACTTGAGTGGGCCAAAATGGTAAGATCATGATTCCCTGTGGTACTTGATCCTCCAAAATTTTTTGTAAACATCTGTGAATTTGACAAAAAAGGTGGAAAAGCATAAAAATACAAGGAATCCCAGCTAATAGTAAATGCATCCACAAAACACGAGGCCGGGTCAGGTTTCCAAGAGACAAACCTGGGGAGCTGTGTATTAAGTCTACTGGCAAATAGATTCATCTCTGGGATGCCCCAATGGGTGGTTATTTGGGTAAAGATCTCTCTTTTTAAGGCCCATTCAGTGCGGTCATTAAACAAGCGGGACTCTTTGTCAGCCTCCGTGTTTTCTACTCCAGCTATGTGAGCTGCTGTTAACCAGGTGTTGTTATTTACACACCAATCCCATATGTGATATGCCACTTGATTGCAACTTGGAGATTTTGTTCCACCCACAGCATTAATATTTTACAGCTGTTGAGTTGTCACAAAGTATTTTGACATGCCTATTATATAACCTTTTACCAAAAGCTTGAAAGGCAAAGTGGATTGCCTTCAATTCTAACTCGTTGATGTGCAATTGGCTTTCTGTACCAGACCACAAACCTTGGGTTGTATCACTATCAAGGTATGCACCCCAACCCTTTTTTGATGCATCAGTTTCAATCTCAATGACAGGATTTCCATGTGACATTGGATTAAAAGCCTTGTCTACATTTTCAATCCACCAAGCAAGATCTTCATTTGCACTTGGGGACAAGGATATGAGAGCCTCAAAGCTACCTATATCCTCCCTGAGAGCCAAGTTCGTTTTTGACATCAGTGAGGGTAATTGTCATTGACACAGAGTCAAGGACAAAACCTAAAAATATAATTCGCTGAGCTGGTGTGACAGATGATTTTTGCACATTAATCACAAACCCCAAGCTTAAAAATAATGTCTGCGTATCAGAGATATTAAGCAGGCATTCATTGGTATCTCTACCCTGAAGGTACGAATCATCTATGTATCCCAAATTCAGGTGACCTTTCTGTCTCAAGGTAGAGTACACTTGCTTCATCAATTTAGTAAAACACCTTGGTGCAAATGAAAGCCCATTTGGCATACATGTGTACTGGTAGAGAAAACCCTTCCAGTAAAATCTCAGATACTTACGATGTTCCTTAGCAATGGGAACTAAGTAGTAGAAACCTTTTAAATCGATTGATGCCATGAAACAGTTTGGAGTCATGAGTCGCACAGCAGACCACAGAGTATCCATTTTGAAATGGTGTTTCTCTATGAGCTTGTTAAGCTCCTTTAAATTCAAAATCATGCGGTATTGACCGCTTTTCTTTTTTTTGACAAATATAGTGGAAATTTATTCATCTGGAGTGTGTACAGCAGGCTCAGTGACACCTAATTCAAGTAGGTGTGCAATTTCTGAGGTAATTATTCCTTCCTCTTTGGAGTCAAACTGAATTTCAGGCCTTAGCCTTAGTTGAGTTGGATTTTCAATCTCTAGGTGGTAGTGCTGTACCATATCTAATATATCTTGGTCTGCTGTGATACTCATCCATGTTAAAACAAAATGCCTCAGCCTACCAGCAAATTCATTTGTTGTTAGACTAACCTGTATAGGGTTTGAACATGGTTCGTTGGTGCTGGAGCAGTTAAAGGCCTTTTCCCGCCTTTCTGTGAGGCTGGTTTTCCAGCTGATTCACGCACTTCATCAGTGCTAAGATCCTCCTTAGAGGATTTTTCCTTACCCCTGACCCCTTTAGGAGGGGTTAAAGATGGATTGTCATCATCCATTTACAGCAAATAATGCAGCGTTTTTGCCCTTAGTTTTAAAAGCGTGCTTGGACTGAGAAGGCGTAAGTTTGCACTGAGTTGGTGCATGCGCTTGCTATCTCATGTGATCTTACAGCACGATAACGAGGTAGAATATGGGATTACTTCTTCATGATTCTACACAAGACTCAGAATTAATCTCTTGAGAAACGTATGGTGTGCAGTAAGGAGAATTGGTAGATATTAAGATTGAAAGGTAATTTGCATGTGGATGAAATCCCATTCTCAGCGCTTAGTGGAAAATTTGTTTGAAACGAAAAATGTTCGTTTCATCTGTTTATTGCTGGATGTTTTGCATGGTATTGATTGTAGCATTGCGGGCGAAGTAAACATTCTTAACATTTACTGTATTGCTAAAAAGGAAAGGCTATCGTGTGTGTAATATTATCGAACTAAATCTTCATCGCTGTTCAATTGGTTGATGGATATCTAAGCAAACCATAGTCTTCTGACCAGTTAGTTTTAATCAGTCTGTGTTCTCCAGCTGATGCCAGAGACCTTGCTGTCTCAAGATTTACATTGTTCAATAATCATCGGCTATTTAACTTGGATTGGACAAACTGGACAGTTAAGTCGTTCAAAAGGCCAACTTAAGTGGATCCTTTTGCTATTGACCCATGCCAATGACACAGGTAATTTTTGATGTTTTTCTTTCCCCTGTCGGGTGAACTATTCAAAAACTGTATCCTTCCAAGCTTATTTAGTGTCACTTTGTTAAATTAAATAAGACATACAGAGGTGCATTATATAATGAGAGAGACTCTAACAGGAATATGTAAATATTTTTACTTAGTACTCTATCAAAGTGTAATGGTGATATCTTCCAAAATATTGATCGAGAAGGCCAATCATGTTAAGAGTGGCTTCTTTTGATTGAGAAATGAACTAAATGGGGGTAAATTCTTGCTTTTAATTCCATTCTCATCATTTAATGATTGCCTCTCTGTCTAGGCTAAATTAATTTAAGGTGGAAAGATACTGTTACCTATGGTCTCAGTTTAGAAATATTGCGTGTTCACACTTATTGACTAACACCTATAGTACCGTTGACTAGATGAATTATGCCTTACTTGTAACTCTTCCAATTTTTTTATTGGAATATGTAAGTAATTTGCAGTTTCAAAGCTTAAGGAATACTTCCAAAATCTGAGAACCCCTTTCTCACTCGAAGGGAAGGGCCATTGCTAGAACTCTAGGCTGACCTTCTCTTAATTCTGGACATATCTTAAAGACTACCGTACTGATATATCATCCCCATGATCAGTGTAAAAAGCAGAAGTGTGTAAAACATGTTCCGCATCTTAATTATCCAATTAAAATGAAAGGGTAACGTTAAGAGCTCTGACAGATAAAATGGCTCGTTCGTTAACTCACTCCTATGGATATTGGCCTCAACAGATGTTCTCGGGAATGATTTGCGTGAAGGCGGACATGTGATTCGGAAGGACCGTTTCACACAATTTTTATTTCTCTAAACTGAAGTTAATGAATAGACAATTATCAATAAACACTTGTGATCTAACCACTATGTATATGTCTAGTATATGTTTGACCAAATTCTGCTGTATTTTCAAGATAAGGTAAAAGAGTGTATACGAAACAAATCAACGCCTGAATCACTGTGAGAATTTGAAGGAAATTATCATTGGAAATAAGAAAAATTTGTATTGGCTAGTTAGAAAACCTTTTCAATAGTTAATGGCTAGACATCATTTGTTCATGAATCATACATTTTATCTAAATGAAAAGTCAGTGACGAAGTTGTCATGCTGAGGTTTGCACGAGTATTGTAGAAAACAAAAGTGATGACGGGATATATTTTTAAGAGCCGAAAACCCTGGCGATATACAATTATATTTCAAGGAGGTCTGTTTGTAGAGACAGTATGCCATTTAACAATAGACGCTGCTGCAGTCTAAACAATAGATGGATGAATGATTGTCAAAAGCACTTCAAGGACTATTTACATTTGGTCATCTTTTGATCAGTGTCGCTCTAAGAAAAGAAACGTGAGAACCTACCGGAATATGTTTTAACCTGTAGTTGAACTTGTTTGTTTTTGGAAGCCCAGCAACGATTTATTTCATTGCAGTTATCTTGGACAGGAACAGGTTCCTGTTCAGTTCATGCTACTTTGTGAGTTCCAAAGCTATGTCTGTCTACAGTACTACAGCCCTGATGTAATTCCTGCAGCTAAATGTATATGTGAAAGAATTGATGGAAGTGGTGTTGAGTGAGATCGTGTTTTAATTCCGTCTTGTAGACTCCATTTACAACAAGATTTGATGATGCGCCAGTAGAGATTTTGTACCGCTTGCAGAAAGGGATGAACGCGTTTAATATGTAAACAAGTACGAAGCTTTTCCTTGACTGAGCTGTCCATTCTGCTCGCTAGATTGAAAGTGATACTTTATCCTCCATTGAAAGGCGAGCTTCGAGTTACTTTCTATTTTCGAATGCTTCAAGCATTTTCTTTATAGGAAGTTTATCTGTGGCATTGTATTTTCGCTGAAATTGACTATAAGCTAGTTCACATTCCTTGCGTCTCACTTTGTCTCACACTGTTTTCAGCCAATCGAACATTTTTCCCATTCGCTTGAGCCCTTTTGCTACTGAGTTGAGGTCCTACTCCCAGCGATGGCCACTGATTTGGTGGCGAAAGTAATCTACAGAAATCGGTGCGTTTGTTCTTATCACATCCTCGATCTAGATCACAATATATATATATATACAAATATTTACCTTCATCCAGCCTGGAATTATTATTCCGAATGATAGTCGAAGGTAAGCACCTTGTCATTGTTAAGGAACATTTTCAGTTCGTTTCTGTTCCCGAGTACAACGAATTCTGCGCAATGTATATTAATATGGTTCACAACACTAGTTCTTTTAGAGATCTGGGGTTCTTCACCGAGCAGTGATCGGTCATGCATTGCCATTGAAGCCAGTTTGTTTTTCTCCGTCCGCTGTTTTGATCGTTCAATAGAAATCGTGCTACGATCGCCAATGGTAATGTTACCGGCAGACTGGATGTGTACGTTATTTACGAGCGCTCTACCGTTTGAAGTCTCCCTTAAGGGTATACCTTAATGCGTGACAATGCGTGACAGCGAGCTGTAAATTGCACCCATGATTTCGATGATTCGAAGAAAAACTTTGATCAGTAGGTCTGACAATAAGGCTATAAGTCCTGATGGTCATGAGTTTTCTCATGGGTTGTAGCGTGTTTTTCTACAAATTGTGACAGGGATTTGCGTCACTTACTTGCAGTTTCCCTTGCGCTGCTGTTCGCTTGGATGCTGTTTGCTTTTCTCTTTGAGTCACTTAAGAGAGAACACTTGTCTTGGGAAGGAGATTGCCAAAATAGCTAGACCACAACGAACCATGCAAGATTATCCAGAAATATCAAGTGATTAAAACTCATATTGGATAACCTGCAACAGAAGCCTTAAATGAGCCATTGGCCTCTGAAACGCTTCCCAAACGTTGTGCTGATTGTAAGTAGCGATATTTCAGTTATTTGGCGCCCATGAGGACATTGCGGGCAAGATTCCGACACTGTATGTGTATTTTCGGTATATCGCTATTCGCAGTTAAGCCTCAATCGCAACGAGGTTTCCGCTTTGATCCTCATCGTTGAGTTCTAACTCGTCACTTCGTGACTGTGCTATCTTGAACTCGAATACAGCTCTAATTTTGTCTTATTGCAGTCCGACGTTTTCGTTGTTTCCCAGTTGTTTACGTTTGTCCCATTAAACGCGTTTGTCCGTCTTTGGACGTAACTCGTCAGCAAGCTGAGAACACTTCCCATTTGCTCTGTTATCTGTGAGCGACTGAGGGACGAAAGCCGAAAAATTTGTGTCGCCTAAAACGCGGCTAGCTTTTCACTTTGAGCAAGAGAGAGGCCATAATCTCTGCCGATGTGTTTGTTGTAATGAAGTTGTGAATGTTAAGCTCGGAACCAGTGACCTCAGCTGCCTTTCGAGATATCAATGAAATTCCGAAGCCCTATCAAATTCAGTTTGTCCCTTAGTCTAGGAACGTTATTGACGAGTGATCGGCTATCATCGCCAACATCTCTGGCCTGTGGATCGTTTTCGAGATTAATCCAATTAAGGGCTCGCGAAGTTACATAATTTGAATCGAAATTTAAGCCACGTCGAGTGACCCTTGATCAAGGAATCAACAAAACCACTTGCTTCTGCTATTGCCTTTTAGAGAAGCACTGGCGGCTAAGACTGGGAAATTTTGAATTCAGTTTTTTTAGAAAAGGTAGACTAGTGAGCGGCACTGCACAAACTAAAAAATCATAGATAAAGGTGTATTCTCCTACACCTTTCGTCTGACAGTAGCAGACTTCCTTAGAAAGTTTTTAAAAGTGGAGTAAATAAGCTTCAATCAGTGTCAAAATTAGTTCACACATCATGTTTGAAGGTTGCTATTTACGGGAAGAATAACAGTCCTGATATACTCTTAATCATTAACAGACCCCCTCCCCCTTTCAATGTTATTTTTCTATGAAGGGGGTGGAGAATAGGTTAACTTAACGAGAGCAAGAGATAAAATTCAAGTGATAGGGGGTTGAAAAGATCAATGTGTCAACAATTTGTCGCCGACTGTTGCTGCTGTACACCTAGTAAATACAATGTCTATTTTCGACCTCTCCCCACAATGCAAAACAAGCGGAAAGTACATGCAAGAAGGGAATTTGCTAATGAGTATGTACGAATTCATAATTTTAAATTCTGTTACATAGCAAGTAATCTGAATTAAACTTGAGTTACCAGAAAACCTATGAATTCGAAAATGCTGCCCAAACTTCTTCGAACCTGATATATTTTAATAGCACAGTGACGTGGGAAACTGTGTGCTGTAATGAATGAGCTCATTGTGTTGTATTCAAAGTATGAAATTCTGTTTGATTTCGTTGTCCCAAGGAAGTATCTTCGTTACCTGGCGCAAATTTTCCCCAGGCTGCTCTTATCCCCGTTGGGATATTAATAATGAAATAGTAATGGATACATATTAAAACGCAATAAGAACGACAACAACAGTCTGCTGTTCCTTTTTCCCCCACCATTTTTTTTTACGATGAAGCGAAATATGGTATATTCTGTACGAAAGGGGCTCTCAGACATGTTTCATAGATGTGTAACCGCTCCTCCATCATAGCATAGTGGCTAATCTAAATGTGTAAGAACAAAGTAGCTAAGATCGTGATATACTGGAGTGGACAGTCCTAATGATTTAATAGGAAAGCGGATTAAATTTGTCGATAGAGAGGCGAAGAAACCTACGACCTCTATTTAGGTAAGCTTCGAACCCAGTTGGAGCCCTGCAGCCTCCTCCCATTTTCGTAATTAAGAAAAACGACGGCAAAGGTGGCACTAGAAGGGTATGTGCCCCTGGTACTTGTAGGGTCTGCTATTTGTGACCATTTGTGGTGTTTTTGAAACTCAGCTTCCTCCCTCCAAATTCTTAGAAATAGACCACAATAAGTGAGTGCTTCAGTCTGTAAGAATCTCGGTCAGATATGCATGGTTTAATTTTTTTAGTAAAGCAACAGAATACACTTTCTATTAGTTTATTGGCATGACAAGCCCTGCAGGACATTGAAAGAACACTGGAAAAACATGGTAACTCACAATTTAGTGGCAAGTAAAAAACCAACGATGGCAAGTAAAAAGCCAATGATGCTGAGGCACAATAACCAGAGTAATACCTCCTTCAAAAGACTTTGACTTAAATTGTCTACCTGAAGAGAGAAGGAGGATGGGCGAAGGGAGATGGGGAGAAGGGAGATGGGGGGGAAGAGGAGAAGTTTGACTCCTTCATACACCTAATCAATTCAATAACACAATTTAATTTACTAATATGGTTACAACAACCACAAAACAAGTTGAATCACTTGACAGCTTGTCATTTGATCAGGCACTATTCTAGAAGGCGAAATACATACATGTCATGTTTCAAACTACATTTAGGATTCCTAACCTTATCATTAATGAGAGTTACATAACTTCTTTTTTATGTAGCATAAATCAATGAAAGTATCACTTACAGTGGAAATAAAAAAAATCTACAAACTTGGACCATACTTGTACTTTTGCATTAATTTTCTCGGGAATTCAGCATGAAAGACAAGAAAATATGTGGAAGAATACACGATTGTGGATATCAAACAAGTACATCCAAACCTTCCACTCGGCGTTAAGTTCCTTATATCATCTCATCCAAGCTCAACAGCCGTAACACCAAACTGCTTCTCAAAACAGGTATTTGGGAGATCCTTGGTCACCATGTACACTAAATCAAACACCTTTGCTCCCTGAAGCTCTTCTCCGAGTTCCATGCACTTTGTTGGGGAATCCGTGCAAACCAATGAGGCAGGTTTCTCTTGACGAAGAAGCTTTTCGAATAATGCCTTCAGTAGCTTCTTTGCAATGGCTTTACAGTCCGCAAACAGAGATCCTATCCTGTATCCTTCCTCTTTGAGGAAAGTTGGTCGGGCAGAAATGTAACCCACAATGGAGCCTTCACTGTTGACGGCCACGTATCCCTGACTACCTGCTGAGCGAAGCCATTTCGTTAGGAATGCGTGACGTTCGAAGCCGAAGACATTCGTGTCGTACAGGAGTAAAGCCTTCAGCTCTACGTCCGCTATGGCTTTAATTTCTACGGATGTTTTCTCCAATGAATCAGGGAGACGGCTTATGGCTGTTGGGAGATGGAAGTCGTAGCGTGCCGCATAAAACTGAGTACGGAAACCGCTTCGTTCGTACATTTTCTCAAGGTGAAGAAAAGAGTATAAGCCAATGTTACAAGAAGGCTTCACACTTGACACAGCGGCATTGAAGATCGTAAAACCGTACCCCTTTCCTCTATATTCCTTATCCACCAGGTAAGCTCCGATAAAAGCAAAGCTATCGCCATATTTTGAAATTCTAACAATGGCTATGGGTTTCTCGTTCAGTTCGCCAACCAAAGCTGCCGTGGGATCACAAGCGAGAAAACACTCGGCGTCTTTCAAACCAGGCCGCCAGTGTTCCTTCGCCATTGGTTCTATTGCAAACCTTTGCATTTCTTCTTCAGTCGTGATCAGGCGAATCTCGAACGATTTATGTTCAGCCGTCTCCATCTTACGGTCGACGAAGGACTCCATCTTGGTGCAGATGTCGGAGCTGTATAACCAATCAATTTTCTGCTATCACTTTTTCCTCGTCGCGCAAGTAACGTCATGAATCTTGGCTCTTCATTAATGCATGTACAAACACGGAAGGCGTTTAATAACTAGGGACGACGTAAGTCCTAAACACAAGTCGAAGGTGAGAAAATATCTGACTGAGATAATTAAGTTTTCGCTGACCTAAAATGTAGGCAAATTGACGCAATTGAGCGAGCGGTAACAAATTTGCCTACACAATACACAGAAACACTCACAAGTGTAGATACAGGGGCTTGTGGGTGGGTATGAACCTCGAGGCCAGTTTATTGCAAACCCACACCTAAGCACAGTGTAACGCTAATAAACACGACACTGCCGGATACAAAAACCCTAAAGCCACGTTGTAGAAAAATGAAGGGCAGTGTAATGAACTTAAAGTACCACTATAATCAATTATAGTTCACCACTAAATTTTCTCCGGTTCTTAGTGGTTTAAATCGATCACGTGACGCGATAGTGTTCATCCGTTGAAAGATACTATCAGCTCATAGTGCCCGCCCGCGGAAAATACCCGGATGGATGGTGCCCGTCCGTGGAAAATACCTGGATTGATAGTGCTCATCCGTGAAAAGTTTTGAATAGTTTGACGGCCTCGAAGTTAGGCAGATCGGAAAAAACAGTGACTTTTCAATTCTGACAGGTATAACGTATTATTTAGCCAATGTACGGTTGCGAATTATTGACATTTGTGACAAGCTGTAGGCGCGGAAGAAAATTTAGGGGTGAACATTAAAAACAATAGAGTGTTTATGTCTTCGCTTCTCGGGCAAATATTTGTTTTAAGAACATCAAATATCCGCGGGGCAACTATCAGCCGATAGTTCCTCGACAGAAACACTCTATTATTTAAATATTCGAAGTTTAATAAAATTGTATTTTTTGAAACCTCGTGTTGGACTCACTCACCCGTTCAAACCGCTTTTGAATCAGAGCAAGTGAAGTCTGTTTAATCGGAGCGTATTTTTCCATCTTTTGCTGTCCGCCATTAATGAAGCGCGTTCCGACGCGTTCCAGCGCGTTTCAGTAAGCGGAAATAACGTCAGATTCTCAACCCGAAAAACACACGTGGCTAATTTTAATAGAGCCGCTTACTAGTACAAATCCTACTAACTTGCAATGCTATAGACTACTCTGCTTCTAAAATAATAGATATCAAGGTCTTTAAGGTGACAGAATAAGCTCTCGAGTCAACGACACTACGATTCTCTAAAGAGATGCGAATTACGGACGTGAAGTGAAAACCGAACTTTCGGACTTCAAGCGTGGCCTAGCGACAGTTTGACGATTCGATGGCCTGGTAAATGTTATGTTTGAGTAACAATGTGTTCAAAAAGTATTGTTTAAAAGAAGATTTTGTGTCAAATCGTAGTTTTTTCAGAATTTTCAACATAATATTAGCCATGTGTATTTTTTTGAGTTGAGAATCTGACGTCATTTCCGCTTACTCGGTTGGAACGCGCTTCATTAATGGCGGACAGCAAAAGATGGAAAATACGCTCCGATAAAACAGACTTCCCCTGCTCTGATTCAAAAACGGTTTGGACTGGTGAGTGAATCCAACACGAGGTTTCAAAAAATACAATTTTATTAGACTTCGAATATTTTATTATAGTGGCACTTTAAGTTCATTACACAGCCCTTTTGACGCTGATAAAACAGACTTCTTATAGAATGATACATTAGGTTAACTATACTACACACTCAGACAGTATCAGTCTAAGCTAATGAAAAATTCGGCGAGCGGCGCAATGTTTCCTCACTGATCTAACGCTTAGCAGTGGGATATCTTACCGACGCAAACGATATATCGCTAAGCTGCAACGATATTTCGCTTAGTTCATACGAGACATCGTTAGGCGGCAGCGGTATATCCCTGAGGTCAAACGATATATTGCTGAGCTCAAACAGTATGTCGCTCAGGGAAAACGATATTGCAAATATTTTGTTTTTTGTTTACTAGTTTAGAATCGGCGTTGTTATCAATTTAAGTTGTTCAAAAAGGCCACGGCTTACATGTTCAGTTTGCTTGTTCCTCAAGTTGGCCTCAAAATGGAAAAACTCCGTGTTTTTTTCTTTTCTTTTTTCCTTTAAGTAATGTACCCTTTCTATAACATATGTGGTGTTTACCTGGAACAAATATATTGGTTGGTTCTGTTCTGCCTAAGGGTAGTTTTGATACAACAATAAAACTTTGTCATTGCTGGTTTAGATTATTGTTATCATCAGTATCATTGTCATGGTCATTGTCGCTATCGACAGTTATTAAATTATAACCAGGTTCATACTGTCTTTCATTGCTCACTTTTTAGCTCATCTGAGTTTTAGCTGGGTCACTATCCCTGAAAATGCGAGTTCAGGTTCCATGCCATAATTATCCTCTTTCCTGCAGGAGATATCCTCGCTCAGAAGCATAAACTGACTTTATGTTCATCTACTTGCCCTAAACGGAACGCCAGTCCTCAAGAGATGGTTTTTCTTACCCAGCCGGCCATCATAGTTCACCCTCGTTTTGGAAAAATGTTTAGTTTATCGCTTTTCTGCCGTTGTTCTTCTTAACTTAATTACGAAAATGGGAGGATCCAACTCTATTCGAAGTTTGCCTAAACAGAGTTTGTAGGTTTCTTCGCCTCTCTATCGACAAATTTAATCCGCTTTCCCATTAAATCATTGGGACTGACTGTACACTTCAGTATATCACGATTTAAGCTACTTTGTTATTACAGATTTAGATTAGCCACTATTCTATGAAGGAGGAGCGGTTACATATCTATGAAACATGTTTGAGAGCCCCTTTTGTACAAGATTAAACATTTCGTTTCATCGTAAAAAAAAAAAAAAAAAAAAAATCGAGAGGAAAAGGATCAGCAGTCTGTTGTTGTCGTTCTTATTGCATTTTAATATGTATCCATTAGTATTTCATTGTTAATATCCCGACGGGGATAAGAGCAGCCTAGGCAAAATTTGGATAGGTAACATAGATACTTCCTGGGAACAACGAAATCAAACAGAATTCCATGCTCTCAATGCAGCACAATGAGCTCATTTATTACGGCACAAATTGTTTCCCACGTCAACGTGCACTTAAAATATATAATGTTCGAAGAGGTTTGGGAGAGGCCTGGCTCTAAAATTGATTCAATCTCTTAAATCTCTCAGGCAAAAAAGGTACCATAAAGTAGGTTGATCGCCCGTTCCTACTGCATATTTTCAAAACGAAAACCTCAACGTAAAATAAATGTGGCCTTTCGATCACTACGGAGCATTGAATTGAAATTTGAAGAGATTACCATTCATTTTGATGTAATGTAAATGCCAATTCTACGCAGCTGGACCAGTAAATTGAAGGAAGAGCTTAAAAATATTAAGATACCTTGATATTTAAACTTAGTTTTAGTGCAGACTTTGTTGTTTATCGGCTATCCTTGCCAAAGTTCGTTCTGGAACTTTGTTCCATAAATTAATGATAAGCTCAAGTCACTCAGTGATACTTTTAATGAGAGCCGTAATCTGTGTTGTAATTTATTGGTCTACACGGAGAAAGGGTGCTTTGTAAATTTTGAAGTTTTAGTAAGGATCACACGCTCCAGCGACTTTGCCTTTTTCAAAAAAAAAGGCTGTCTGTTGATTCCTGCAGAAATCATGCAGATACGATTTCTACAGAATTTATGACACAGATACGGTTTTTAGAAGATAAAAGCAAAGATTAAAAGAAAAAAAAATATAAAATCTTACCTGCAGCGAGTCGAGAACACAGGCAAGTTCAAATGACTTACTGCTTCGACAGTTGAAGAGATTTAACTTTCTGTGAGATACAAACTGTGCCCAAATCTTCACAGCTCAAAATATCAAGAACCCATATTCTGTCTGTTGGAAGTAATTTTAGGGCACATTTCAATTTTTTATAGGCGATGCCATAACTTTTTTCAACCATTTTATCTTAGAGGGATTAAGGGAGATTTAACAACGACAAACATATGAAACATACGTATGAACTGCGGTTATGAAACGTATATGTGCACGATCCTTCGCAGTAAAGCACTATTTGAGCAATAGTGAAAATCTGACCTGAAAAAAAAAATTTCAGGCCTGTACGGGATTCGAACCACTGACCTCTGCGATACTAGTGCAGCGCTCTACCAATTGAGCTAACAAGCCAACTGGGAGCAGGCCATCGAATTAATTTGATGGCCTGCTCCCAGTTGGCTTGTTAGCTCAATTGGTAGAGCGCTGCACTAGTATCGCAGAGGTCAATGGTTCGAATCCCGTACAGGCCTGAAATTTTTTTCAGGTCTGATTTTCACTATTGCTCAAATAGTGCTTTACTGCGAAGGATCGTGCACATATACATAAGGGAGAAATAGACAGATCGAGAGTCTAATTATCCTTTAAACTTCAATGGCTGTCTGGAAATGCTTACAGATTTGAATGTTTATTACGTAAACCGAGGTAAATAAATTGTTGCTTGTTTTTCAACTCCAACTTTGATTACTTAAAACGAAACAAAATAACCAAATCAGATTATTCATCCCTTAAATGCTCGTAATAATCACTGTTATCTTATCACAAATCCATCAGTCATTAAGAGAAAGTGAAGTCATCTTTTTGTCCTGATGTATTCTTTAAAATCAATTGCTTGACCCCTTGTCTGAGCTCGATAAGATGTCAAACAAGTTAATATATGTCTATCAAGCTGCTTTTTTCAAGTTTTGTTAGATTTGGGATGGAATCCTTTGCTGGGCTGTTACCCGCATCTAAATTTATTTTATCAGAACTAACATTAGTAGGTCTTTGTTAAAACAGGGATTTCTTTGAAATTCACTGAATTTTAATTCAGGATAATTTATATTTCAAAGTGTCGGCAAAATGGGTCTTCCGAGCAGTCACCCATAGCAAAACATCAAGTAGATGGACCAATCTACGGGGCAAAACCTTGTGAATTTTCAAAATTGACCAAAACTGCACTTTGAAATCAAGGTTGACCTGAAGGCAACCTTAATTTGAATGTTATCTTCCTGAGTTACTTTAAAATCAAGGTTGTCTCAAAAATGAGCCAGAATTCCTATTATTAATTACCAAGGAACAAACTAAAAATTAATATATCGTTGCTGATAGCTAGTTTAGAGTTAATGCTCAGTATACAGCTTATTCCTGTAGTCTAAGAGGTGTTTCTTTGTTTGTTTGATACGACTTCAGCTGGTAGACAGCACTTTTTTAAAGAATTCTGATAAAAGCTGATAAAACCCGTAAATCAAAATCTTTCGGATTGAGCTGTTTATTCCGAACAAGCTGTTTTCCAATCTTGATCATTCAGATGCGATTTTCGAAACATCAACGCACAAACTAAAAAAATACAGGGTCTTACCTGCAAGGAGTCATCAGCACAGGCAGTGTTCAAATGACTTAGTGCTTCGGGTGTTGGCACATAAATTGCTTGGTTCAATTAGCGACTAAAATATTTTCTTAACAATAAGAACAATGTAACTTTAAAGATCGGGTTCAACGACAATAAAATGGATTTCGCATTTTTCCTGTGTCACGACATGATTCTTCTGAAATTTGAGAATCCTGATCCCAAAAATGATTCAATTTCTGATATCTGCCTAAATGGCTTCAGAATGGAAAGTTTTGCGTTCGTGCAACCTCAAAAAAGCCTTAGTCCCTGACTCAATCGATTGTTTGTGCTATTGTATTCTTAATCTAAGAAATGTTTGTGTTATGAGGTAAGTGACTTTGGCCGGGAAATCTTTCCTTCGTAATCTAGTGACTCACTCCTGCCTATTGCATGTTTTCGTATCGCAACACTCAGTGTAAAAATCAAGTGACCTTTCCTTCATAACTGTGTAAAGAATTGAGATTTGAAGAGAGTAACGTTCAATATGATGTAAATGTAGTAATCTTCACAGCCAAACTAATTAAGGAAAGGAAGGGCTTAAGAATGGAAAGACACCATATTCTGTCTTAGGAAAACTATTTTTAGAGTAGATTTTCTTTGCTTATCGGCCATCCTCGCAAAGTGGGACGTCGGTGAACTTTGCTTAATAAATACATGTCATTGCTCAAAAGAAAGATGTATTCAAATCCCTTACTCCTTGTTGTAAAGAGGGTGTTCTTCCTCAGTAATCTGCGATTTAATTCGTTACCCTGCACAAATAAAGGATCCTTAATTAGTTTTGAGATTTAAGCAAAGATCCCACTTTCCAGCGACTATGAAAAAATTCTTGAAGAAAACTGTATCGGTGATGTGAAATGGCTTTAACTGTGCATTTAGATTGAACTACGTTCAGAGCGATTGATTAGTATTAATTGAGAGGGGCACAAAAAAGATGGGGTTTGTCCGGTTTTAAAGTGACTCGTCCACTTATATTAATAAAAAAAACAAAACAAAACAAAACAAAAAAAACATCAAAGAACTGGCGGCCATAATTTTCATGGTGGCATTAGATGTTTGTCAGTCTAAATTACCAGAGTCATTGCACGTGGAGAGGTGCATACAGTTGAACCATTTGAAAGTGTAGTGTGATCGTCCGAGTGAGTGTAGTCCTGAGATGGACTGTTGTCGGTGGTGGTGACTGACGTTTCGACAACCTGTGCGGAAGTCATCATCAGGGTCAAGTGAGTAGCTGTTGTAGAATGTTCTTAGTCCAGTCTCGCGCATCTTACAACCCTTCAATATTCGCGTCGCCCACAAACCCATCACCACACTAAGTCAGTTATCAACAAACGTTAAAGACAAGGACTAACCGAGGAACAGACAGGGAGCGATTTAGAAGATCAATTGCTCCGACCGCCAAGCCTCCTACATTGGAGAGACTGGCTGAAACTTCGCAACAAGACTGAATGAACACAGACGGGCGACGAGGAAAGGTGATGTCAACAATCACATTGCTGAACATCATCGACTTTACTATTCTCTTCGTTCGTCCTCACAGTTTCTTCTGTCAGTTCCCAGAGTCAACTGCTGTACATTTGGGGGTCGCGCTTTCACCCACGCTGCACCGATTCTATGGAACTCTTTACCGCTGACTAATAGATCTAGTAGCAGTATTTCTGTGTTTAAAAAAAGACTGAAGACTTTTCTGTTTAAAAAGGCTTTCAATCTGTGATTTTGGTCTATTTGATATATATTCTTATTGTACAGCGCTTTTGAATATTGACCAATAGTTAAAGCGCTCTATAAATATATAATTGTTATTGACTTACGAACCACAGTATTGACTGGGACTCTGCGCAATGCCTAGCCTAGAGCACTAACTACTTTCAAAGACTGACTCTCGAAAGCTGGGTACCTAACTTTTGACAGACTTTCCTAAACAGGTGTCAACTATTACCGGCTCCATACAAACGACTCATTCACGACATTAACATAACAAACGAACCGAACAGAACAACCTGACTGGACCGACGGATCGAAACAGACCAATCACGACCGACTTACGCCACTTGAGTCTTAAAGCCAGTAACATCACGGCAAAACTGACCAATCATTTTATATGAACTGGACCAAGAACATTCTACTGACAACAACTATTCAGTAAATGGTTTGAACCCGGGGGTAACATGTGAAGGTGTAGTCTGATCGTCCGGGTGAGTGTAGTCCTGAGAAGGACTGTTGTCGGTGGCAGTGACTGACGTTTCGACAACCTGTGCGGAAGTCATCATCAGAGTCAAGTGAATGATTGTTGTCAGTAGAATGTTCTTATTCCAGTTCGTGTGAAATGATCGGTTGGTTTTGCCGTGATGTTATTGGCTGTAAGACTCAAGTGACGTAAGTCGGTCGTGATTGGTCTGTTTCG